CAGTTCAACAGAGAATTCAGTTATTCAGCAGAGCTCTGGCTTCTGAGACGCTCTGAATACATCAGGCACAGAAATTCATTTCGTAGTTTTTCAGCTGTGAACTTGTAGGAGTGTGGAGTTAGATAACATCTAGTTGCCTCGAGATTTAGAGATGAGCTAGCCTGACTTGACAAATGATATTATTTGTAAAAATTGGGCATTTATCATTGCTGGTGTTATTTGGTTAGAAATGTAAGCAGGATTTTGGAGTCATCAGCGGGACTTGTGTTCACCTCTGGCTCCTTGACCTGTGTCATTCTGGTTGCGGCCTTTAACCAACAATCTGCACACTGGTTGCCAGGTTGTTGACAGAGCAGAGTGGGAAATGTGGGCTCAGGCCCAGGTCGGGCTCCAGTGATATGGGTTCCATTTCCTTTCCTCTTAGAAAAAGGAGTGTGCCCTAGAGTCATAAATTAGCCAGGCGTGGCAGTATACACCTGTAATCCCAGCTACTCGGGAGGCTGAAGCAGAAGAATCGCTTGAACCCTGGAGGTGGAGGTTGCAATGAGCCAGGATTGTGCCATTGCACTCCAGCCTGGGCAACAGAACAAGACTCCACCTCAAAATCAATCAATCAATCAATAAAATAAAATACATGGGGAGAGAGAGTGAATGCCTCTCTCTCAGTGATACTAAAATACTATAGGCTTGAGACACAGGTAGAGGCAGAAGGGGCTTGTGGGGGTAGAGTCTGGCCCGGGAGTGGAGTGGGCACAGCAGAATTCTGGGCTGGGAGGACAGCTGAAGAAGACAGAGGGCTTTCTCTATTTCTTAATGGGAATGGTACATTGTGCAGTTTCTCTTTGGACATAACTGGCTTGAAGCGCTCCTTACACTCGAGATGCCACATATATTTGGTATTGTAACCTGGAATAGTGCCAGCCCGAGTCCCCTGTGGCCGATCTGTGCCCTGCTTAGGATTCTCTCTCCTCCTGAATGGCTCAGGAATCCCTGGGGGCCTTATGTCTCCTGGAAGCTGAGTCATTCCAACGTTCACTTGGGTGTGTCAAGTGCTCTGGTCTTAAGGAACTCCTGCAGTGGCTTCTGGAGGCCACAGGGGGTCACTGTCGGCAGCCATCAGGCCTTGCCCGCAGGATTCAGGACCACGGGGTGGTTGGCTGCAGACCTCAGAAGCCTCAGACAGGGGTTGAGAGAGCCCTTTCCTTTGGTCCAAGTTTAGCTGCGTGTGAACTTTGCTTACCTCATCTTGAGTGCCAAACCCATCCTGTAGGCTGAGTCACAATAGGCCTATGTGATCCCTTCAGCTTCTCAGCGACCTGTTTTCTCTCCCCAGGGGTCCGAGGCTTTTTCTACACACACTTGTTTTTCCCATTCTCTGACGGGAGCCCCTGACTCCACCCATCCCCTCTGCTCCTGCATCACTTCCCACCTCCACCCTGGGACGGACCCTTCTAAAGGTGCCATTCCAGCGTTTTTATCTCACAGCAAACACAATAATAATAGCTAATACTTAATAAACCTAGCCCATGCGAGGGCTTTCCAAGCCTGCTGTGTACTGTCCCATTTACATCTCAAAGCAGCCCAGAGAGGTCCCCACTTTATAGACAAGAAAAGAAGGTGTAGATAAAGTAATTCAAGTTGCCCAACATCACACAGAGCAGAATTTAAACACATCCACATTCACATACAATTCAAATCTTTGCTGATGTCTTTCCCCATATTATAGGATTATTCATTGCTTTTCGGGGACATTGTTCTGTTCACCCAAGGGATTACTACAAATTGATGTTGCTTTGAAGCATTGAGTTTCTCTGCGGGATGTAACCAGGTCATCTGAATTCTATAGGACATTGAGCCTTTTCTGTCTGGGCAGGGGGAGTAGGGTGAGCCTGAGATTCTGAGCTGACCCGGGTTGGTCTGCGCTGGTGAACACAGCTGCACAGAGGCAGGTTTGTAGCTTGGTGGGAGTGTGGTGGAGCCACAGTGCAGTGTGTGTGTGTGTGTGTGTGTGTGTGTGCTGGGGAAGGAACCCACTGAGCTGAGAAGGTAAGGAAAGCAGGCAAGACACTTCTCAGGGCCTTACCTGGCAGGCCAAGGTGTTTGTATTTTATTCTGTGTGCGGTGATTTTATTCCGTGTGCGGTGAGAGCCCCTGAAGGCTTTCGAGAAAGAGAATGGTAAGTTTAGAGCTGGGCTTTAGGAGAATGGGTTTAGTCTTTGTGTGACAAATGGTTCGGGGCCCCATCTGTCTGGATTCCAAAAACGAGGCTTCCTAGCCTGCATACAGTTTCCTTCTGCAACCTGCCTGTCTGTCTGTCACTGAATGTCACTGTCTCTCAGGAGGCTGTAATCTTCCCAAAGTCACTGGTCCTTGCAGGGCACAAACTTCTAATTTTTAATTTGTGGTCTAATGACTGCAAAGCCCATCCCGGGATATCCTGACCTTGTTGGAGCCTTTTGTCACAGTGCAAGGCAGGTATCATGATGTTCTTAGGGTCTGGAACTTAGAGAACTCCCTTCTGAGTTTTAGAAGCTGCAACATACAGATGTCTTTGCAGGGCCACTTGGCAGACACAAACCCTTCCTTGAAGAGCACAAGGAGGCCAGAGAGAGGGGTGTCTTGAAGTCTTGTAACAAGGAGTGACAAACCACCGAAACCTCAGTATTCTCTCTGGAATGGCTTCTTCCCTCTTTCTCTGGAAAACTCTTACTGATCTTCCAAAACCCGGTAAAGTTCTCTCCTGCGATGGCTGCAGGCTCCCTGGCAGAATGCGAGGCTGTTGCTCCTAAACTCTGACAGTAGTTTACTCGTCTCTTTAAAATGATGCTTACTACTTTCTTCATTATGCTAGAGATACTTGTTTGTCTTATTTTCCCAGCTTACCTCTGAGTGCCTTGAAGGGAGGGTTTGTTTCACTATTATCTTTGTTTCCAGCTCAGGGCCTAGGGCAGCGCTAAATGCTTGAGTTCAATCATTCATACAAAAATGTGTGTCACCTGCGGACCCCGTTCTTGGCACTGGAATACAGCAATGAATAGACCAAAGCAAACTCCCCACCTGCCCTCGTGGAGTTCACAGCCTAGTCGATATTCTGCATGGGACACCCATGGGGGCACTTCCATAAATACCTTCTGAGGGACAGACTTCATGTTGCCTTCCTCAGATCTGGGAGGTGTTCTGTTTCCAGAAAGGGTTCTTTGACAACTTGTGAAGTAGAAATGTCTTCTTTCAGAACAGGGCAACTGACCTTTATCCTGCAAATACTAACAGAGAGCACAGTTCTTGATAGGTGCCTGCTGTGCATGTGTTGAGTGTCATTGGAGTAGACACAGACTAAGATTTTACTCCAAGAAGAGAAGGTGACCCGCTGGGGCTGGGGCAGTCATTAGCCTGGTACAATTAGAAGAACAAGGCCAGCAAGAGTTTCATATTGCAAAATAGTTGGATTTTAGAGGCAGATAGGGGCCTGCCAAGATGCAATGAGACTAGGAAATAATTGGTTTTCATTCCAGAATTTGCCCATAATGGGTTTTGTTCCCTTTCCTGCGTTTTCCCAGTCTCAGGCCTCCCTTTGAGAAACAGCAACACACAGATGTCTTTTCATGGCCACTTGGCTGAGACAGGCCCCTTCCTTGAGGAGCACAAAGAGATGGAAGAGGTCATGCACGGTGGTTCATGCTTATAACCCCAGTACTTTGGGGAGTCTGAGGTGGGAGGATCACTTCAGCACAAGAGTTCAAGACCAGGCTGGGCAACATAGTGAAGCCCTGTCTCTACAAAAATTAAAACAATTATATGGGCATGGTGGTGCACACCTGTAGTCCCAGCTACTCAGGAGGCTGAGGTGGGAGGATTGCTTGAGCCTGGGAGGTTGAGGTTGCAGCGAGCTGTGATTGCACCACTGCACTCCAGCCTGGGTGAGAGAGTGAGACCTTATCTCAAACAAGTGTATACATATACATATATATTCATATGCTAGAGAGAGGGGTGCCTTGGAGGCTTGTAACCTGTTGGAGTTTCAAAAGGTCCTCTTAACCCTTTCCCCCCATACACTCACCTTTCAGCTCCCAAGGTCATGGGAAACCAAAGAAGGGCTCCAGAACCGGGACACTAGTGTTTCCAACACCAAATCTGTGGTAGCAGGAAGGGTGGTTCCTGGCCTGGGCCACTCACCCAGTTGGGCAAGTTGCTATCCTTCTGTGGGCCTCAGTTTCCCCATGAATAACAGGAGGTTGGGACAGATGGTCTTTAAATGCTTGTTTTTAGTAGGAGCGAGCTTTGGTGTAAGATACAAAGGGTTTTAAATCGAAGGTAGCTTGAGTGGTGGAGCCATGGGGTGGAAAGAGCTGTGTGGGATTTAGAGCCAGGCACACCAGGTTCCCATCGGGGCTCTGCCCCTTACTAACAATTTACTTTGGGCAAGTTACTTAACCTCCCACAGGCTGCTTTCCTCACCCATAAAGCAGAAGCGGTGATGTGGTTGGGGAAGCCTCCTAGTGAGATAATACAGGGAAGGCACCAAGCCTTGGCACCGTCAATGTGGGTGTTGGTGGTGGTGCCTGGAGGTGCTGACCACCTTGACAGGGGAGCTGAGTAGGCAGAGGATTTGAGAGCACTTCCAGGAAGAAATACATAGGGAGATAGAAATTTCTATGCCAGGGTGGTTTCTTCATTCTGGAATGTTGTCACAGGAACAATCAGACAACCCTAAACTGTCAGGGTATCTTCACCTCTGCTGGGACAGACTTGTCTTTACCTCTGTAGGGACAGGCTTGCCCTAGGGTTGGGCAGGGCCTGCGCTCTTGTTCGGGGTTCTGAACTTCCTTGCAGCCAGGTGAATCCTGCGGTTCCCGAACTATTAGATTGGTGCAAAAGTAATCGCGATTTTTGCCATTACACGGCAATTATTTTTTCACCAACCGAATACATTCTGTCTCAGCTGGCGCAGTGCACCGCCTGGGCTGCGGATCTGGACTAACGCTCTGTCTTCCTCTTTCCAGTGCGCCGGTCCAAGGCAGCTGATGAGGAGAGGAGCCGCGAAGCCCAGCGCGCCAGGGACGAGTACCGACGCCACTCGCTCCGTGCCATCCAGAAGGGCACGGTCGCCGGCCTCAGCTCCATGTTCCAGGAACTCGGCCAGAGCCACGAGCAGGAAGCAAGACTCTACCATCACCTCCCTGGCCCGGGTCCGCCACCGCCCCTTGCCCTGACAGTCAGGTGGGTCGGGGCTCCGCATTGGCGTGGTTGGGGCAAGGGCCTTGGATTAGGGCATGGGACACTGGGGTCTCAGTCCCGGTTCTGCCCCAGATTTGTTGTGCAATTTGGGGTTAGCATTTCCCGTCTAGACCTCAGCCTCAGTCTGGGATAGGAGAGGGAGGAGCACTGTGGAGGCTGGAGATTTGTAACTTTGGACTTCCGGGGGCCTTGACCTTTTTTTTTTTTTTTTTTTTTTTTGAGACAGAGTTATGGTCTGTCACCAGGCACCAGGCTGGAGTACAGTGGGGCAGTCTCGGCTCACTGCAGTCTCCGCCTCCTGGGTTCAAGATGAGCTTCCCTAGTAGCTGGGACTACAGGCACGCGCCACCATGCCCACCTAATTTTTGTATGTTTTAGTAGAGACAGGGTTTCACCATGTTGGCCAGGATGGTCTCGATCTCTTGACCTCGTGATCCACTCACCTCGGCCTCCCAAAGTGTTGGGGTTACAGGCATGAGCCACTGCGCCCGGCCAAGGATTCCTTTGAGAATCCGAAGAAAGCTGTGTACCTTATTTCCCCTAAAATGCGCATATATAAAGACCTAGAATGTTTGCATATAATTTAAGAAGAAGGGCCCCAGGTTAATAACTTGTAATGAGACCTCAGATGGGTGCAGTATGGCGGCAGCCTGCACACTGCGGCTTGCTGCCTCTGGGAACCCCAGGCAGCGCCGGTTTATCTCCAATTGGAGTGGTAGGTTTGCAGTTTAGCACGGATGGATGCAGGAGGATCCTCACACGCATTTGTGTTCCCTGATGGTTAGTTTGGCAAGGGCACTTAGGTGACCAAAAGTGCCAGGACCAAACGTTAGGAGGTCGCAGGGAACCTCTCTTCCTTCTACCTGTGGGTTCCCACCTTAGGTCAGCCGCAAGGTTTGGCCTCTCTCCTCTTGGGTGCCCCCCTCCCCCTACCACTGCTGAACAACTACTGTCCCCAGAAGGGCCAGAGGCTGAGTGGTGAGCACCTGCCGTCTGCGGAAGAGTCTGGTCACCCCCAGATAATGAAGGGGTGTCTGAATTTTGCTTCAGTTGGGGTTTGGGGTTACTCATAACTTTCTTCTCCCTTTGCCTGCAGTCTAGGGATGGTTGATGATTTTTTCATTTCTTCCCTCCCTCCTTCCCACCCTTTCCTTTGTTGTCAAGTAAAAGATTCCCAAACCAGAAGGTTTAAAAAGGTATACTGAGAAATGGCTGACTTGCTCTCTCATCTACTCTGTTCCCTCTTCTTCCAGCGGTAACTACTGATTCTTAGTTTTTATGTATCTGCCCACTTTGTTTTTGCAATTACCAACGTGAAGGCCTTATTATTCCTTTTTTTTTTTTTTTTGTATAAAAGTTTTCATATCATGTATGGGGTTCTGCACTTTGACTGCTTTCCCTCATTTAACTCATTTTTAGAAGGCTTTTCATATCAATTCTTACATAGTTAGGGTTTTTTTTATAGATGCATGATATTCTACTGCACAATGTGCTGTAAATTCTTTTTATTGTTTATCTTTTCCTTATTGATTTCCAAGAACTCCTTAAATATTAGGGAAGAGGATTCTTTTGTCTGTGATATGCATTGTTTCTCCATTCAGAACTTATTTTTTGATTTTCCTGATGAAATTTTTTGTCGTGGAGAAATTCTTATTGTAAAGTAAAATTTTCTTTTATACTCACTCTTTCTTTCCTTTCTTCCTCCCCCTCCCCCTCCACCCCCCTTCCTTCCACCTGAAGTCTCACTCTGTCTCCCAGACTGGAGTGCAGTTGCACTATCTTGGCTCACTGCAACCTCCACCTCCCGGGTTCAAGTGATTCTCCTGCCCCAGCTCCCGATTAGCTGGGATTATGGGCACATGCCACCATGCCCGGCTAACTGTATTTTTAGTAGAGACAGGGGTTCACCATATTGGTCAGGCTGGTCTTGAATTCCTGACCTTAGGTAATCTGCCCGCTTTGGCCTCCCAAAGTGCTGGGATTATAGGTGTGAGCCACTGCACCTGGCCTCTTTTATATTTTCTAAATTCGGGGGCATAGTTAGAAAAGCCTTCTCACCATTTATACTTTTTTTTTTTTTTTTTGAGACGGAGTTTCGCCCTTGTTACCCAGGCTGGAGTGCAATGGCGCGATCTCGGCTCACCGCAACCTCCGCCTCCCGGGCTCAGGCAATTCTCCTGCCTCAGCCTCCTGAGTAGCTGGGATTACAGGCACGTGCCACCATGTCCAGCTAATTTTTTGCACTTTTAGTAGAGACGGGGTTTCACCATGTTGACCAGGATGGTCTCGATCTCTCGACCTCGTGATCCACCCGCCTCGGCCTCCCAAAGTGCTGGGATTACAGGCTTGAGCCACCGCGCCCGGCCCATTTATACTTTTTAAAAGAAACCTAGAATTTATCCCTCAGGCCCATTTGATGGAGCCACATGGACTGTGGTGCAGCCTGGCTTCGGGCTGTCTGTGTGCAGCCAATAGGGGAGCAGTGGTCTCACTCCAGAGTGAGCCCCAGGCAGCTGTGCACACAGGTCAGCAAGCCCAGGCAGTGAGAGGGCCCGCTCATCAGCCTCTCTCCTGTGGCTGCCCCATGGGATGGGTCCCCATGGCCTCACTGCTTTAACCTCTGTGGCGCCTGCCAGGACACCTCAACTGTCTGTGCTGAGGGATGTGTGCCACTTATGGGAAGAAAGTTTCAGATTTAGGAGTGAGGCTTTGGGCCAAGTGGCGTCTTGGAATACATATCTAGTATTTATACTCTTTCTTTTTTTCTGAGTTAGGAGTATTTATTATCCTTGTTTTAATAACATTTATTTAATTGTACAATTATTAGATTTAACTTTATTTTTTTGAGACTGAGTCTTGCTTTGTGGCACGGGCTGTAGTGCAGTGGTGGTGCAATCCTGGCTCACTTCAGCCTCCATCTCCCAGGTTCAAGAGATTCTCCTGCCTCGGTCCCTCAAGTAGCTGGGATTATAGGCGTGTAACCACCACACCCAGCTAATTGTTGTATTTTTAGTAGAGACAGGGTTTCATCATGTTGACCAGGCTGGTCTTGAACTCCTGACCTCAGGTGATCTGTCCACCTCGGCCTCCCTAAGTACTGGGATTACAGGTGTGAGCCACTGTGCCCAGCCTATTACATTTAAGTTTTAATGACAGCTGTGTTTAACAAATGGCTTAGAAAATTCCTGAAAATTTAACAATCAGCTCTTGTGGACCAGTGCACAAGCTGCTCACATGTGTTTTTACCCAGGCCCTACTCTTTACTGCTGGTATGACTTTGGCTAGTAATTTCACTGCTAGAATCTATGCTAAGGAAATTAGCTGCAAATTGAAAAAGTGCAAAGATGATTATCATAGCATTATTAATAATGGCAAAAAGTCAGAAGCAATGTAATTGTTTAGTGAATTTTGGTTAAGTCAATTCATTGCAATGTTTTCTGGAATTAAAAGTGACTTCTTTGAAGGTTTAATAACAAGAGAAAATGCCATCGATTAACTGAAAAAGAAAAAAGAAGAGCAAACTATCTAATTTATATAGAATGATCAAAATTTTAAGGTATATAAACTGTAGCATTTATATTCTGGGGGAGTCAGATTCCCTGCTTAGAAATTCTCTGCTTAGAAACCAATTCACATCAACTGCTTAGAAACAGGGACGAGAGTGAGTGAATTTATTTTTTACTGTTATATATCACTTCCTATTGCCTTCTAAGGAAAGCGAGTCCTAGAAACTAGAGGAGTTTTTCCCTCTGAGCACAGCTATTTTTTGGAGAATGCAAATGTAGAGGAAGAGGCTGGGTGAAGCGGGCTGCCCTGTGCCGCTTGATGAAGAGGAAAGACATCTGAGGTTACTGAGAAGGAAGAGTGATTGGGAAGACAGGCCGACTGGCTGTTGGGCTGTAGGGGATAAAGGAAGGTCCAGAGAGGCAGCCAGTGGGAAGACGGGGTGTGGAGGTCAGCTCCGCAGATGACGGCTGTAAGCCGTGCAATGTAACCTCACCCTCTGTCCTTTTTCCGACATCTTTTCTGAAATCTACAGCGTTCGCTACTGTGTATGTGCATGCATGTGCATGTGTGAGTGTGTTCAGTTTAGGGCAAGTAAAGAAATGCCCCGTGGATTGATTCTGGGCTTGTAAGGTGTGCTGAGCACAGTGTCAAAGTGTGAGTACAGGGCAAATACAGAGACCACATGAGGGGACAGCTGCATTGATTTTATAAAAAACAAGGATAACCGTGAATTCTAAATGCCAGTGCTATTAGGTGGATAGCAATGACAAAATAGGAATTTACTAGGCTCCTGTCAGTTGGAAATGGCGAAGAGGCTGTGGTTGTTCAAGGTAGGGTATGGCCTTGTTCCTCAGGCCACACTCTGTTTTGAGACAGAGTCTCACTCTGTTACCCAGGCTGGAGTGCAGTGGCGTGATCTCAGCTCACTGCAACCTCTGCCTCCTGGGTTCAAGCGATTCTCCTGCCTCAGCCTCTTAAGTAGCTGGGATTATAGGTGCCTGCCACCATGCCTGGATAATTTTGTATTTTACAAAATTTTGTATTTTTAGTAGAGACATGTTGGCCAGGCTGGTCTTGAACTCCTGACCTCAAGTGATCCACCTGCCTCGGCCTCCCAAAGTGCTGGGGTTACAGGCATGAGCCACCACGCCCAGCCCAGATGCTGTATTTTTGTGCCATGAATTCATGCACCGTGGCATCACTGCATTATACTTCACCACATAGTTGTGGATGTCTGTCATGTGTCGTGTGCTGCCAGCTCTCCTGCCTCAACCTCCCGAGTAGCTGGGATTACAGGCACCCACCACCATGCCTGGCTCATTTCTTGTATTTTCAGTAGAGATGGAGTTTCACCATGATGGCCAGGGTGGTCGTGAACTCCTTCCCCTCCTCCTTCCTCTCCCTCCATCCTTTCTCCCTCCCTGAGTCTTCCGGCCTCCCTTTCATTCTCTTCAGCAGGACTTGGGAGCGCCCGCTGCGCCCGGTCTCCAGAGACGTCATCGTCCGCTGGTTTAAGGAGGAGCAGCTGCCTCGCCGAGCGGGCTTCGAGAGAAACACCAAATTCATCGCCCCCTGGTTCCATGGTAGGACCACTTTTCTGGGCCCTGTGCCAACTGATTTCCATAGCTTTGCCTCTCTCTAGGGTTGGGGAGGGGTGCTGAGGGACTGTTATACTCAGGGGGAAGACTTTATGCAATCTCCATTCTGTCCCCAGTATCTCCCAGCAAGAGTCCAGGAGGCTGCAGGCCCCAGGGATGCTGAATGGGAACTCCCCACTCTTCTGGGAAGGGGTGAACATGGCTCTTGCCCACTGCTGTCACCTCACAGCGTCTGTAGCCACCAAGGACTCCTCAGAGGCATTTTCTCTGTGGTCATAAGACAGTGAGCTCTGGGAGTTGCAGGGTCACCTGGTAGATAGGACCCACATCCCTGGATCCTGGCCACAGCCTGGCACACTGTAGGCTCTGGGTACAGACTTGTTAATTCGATGACAGATGGCTGAATGAAGAGGTCAGCATCACCCAAACATAGACTATTAGGGCAGTGTGGCTCCTCGAAAGCCCTTCCTTGCCCACCTGGTTTCCAAAGCTCTGGCCTTTTCCCTGTTCCTCAAACGAGCCATCCTCTTTCCCATCTCGGGCCATCTGTGCTTGCCATGGCTCTGCTCGTGTGTTCTCTCTTTCTGTGGCTGTCGGCATGGTTGACACGTTCTCATTTTTCATCTCAAACCTCCCCTCCTCAGAAAGGCCTTTCCTGGGCTTCTTACCTACAGTCGCCTTCCCCAGTGTCCCTCAGCTCACCTGCTCATTTCCTGAAGTGAGTGCACCCAGCTGGTATTGATTAGATTTACTTAGTAGTAAATCTCTCCTCCCACCTGAATTAGTCTCTCCTCCCACCTGAATGTGAGTCTGTGAGGTTAAGGACCTGGTTTGTTTCCCCCATGCCTGGCTCAGTAAGAATCCGTGGGAGGAATGAATGAAGGTGGGAAGGAAATGTCTGGGTTGGATTAGATCCCAGGCTTTCCACTTCCAAAGAACAGCCCTTGCTTCTCTGCATTGAAAATCCAGAGCCTCCCCAGCTGATCATGTGCTTGGTGGGGTCAGGGACCCTGTGTCTTAGGCATCTCTGTGTTCAGCACTCACCCCTGCCTGTCACCCAGGGACCAAATACAGAAATACCTCCAAGACAAGCTCACCATCTTCCTCCATTGCCACTGCTGTTGAGCTCTCCAACCCAATGAATAGCATCCCTATCGTGTAGGTCAGCTTGGATATTTGTAGGTCCATTTGCAGGTCACAAATGCTTCTGAAGTCTCAGTGACCCCCACTAATCAAGGTTTATTTCTTATCCACGTTATGTGCCCTTTGGGAATGGGTTACAGACTTTAGTCTGGGCCTCAGACTGCAGGAGCTGCCTCTATTGAAAACACTGATGGTCGATCTGGCGCCATGGCTCATGTCGGTAATCCTAGCACTTTCGGAGGCCGAGGCAGGTGGATCACTTGAGGTCAGGAGTTCAAAACCAGCCTGGCCAGCATGGTGTAACCCTACTAAAATATTTAAAAAATTATCCGGGCGTGGTGGTGGGCCCCTGTAATCCCAGCCACTTGGGAGGCTGAGAAAGGAGAATTGCTTGAACCCAGAGGCAGAGGTTGCAGTGAGCTGAGGTCATGACATTGTACTCCAGCCTGAGCAACAAGAACAAAACTCAGTCTTGAAAAGAAAATGCTAATGGTCTCATGACAGAGAGAGATAAGAGACTTCGAGAACCACACATTGGCTCCTAACGCTTTTGCAGGGTACGGACACATGAAATTGTTGCTCACATTTTGTTAGCCAGAGCCAGTGTGGCATCCACTGCACAGAGGATAGTTTCAAAGGATAATCGAGTCTGTTAGAACCGCCATCCACTTTGAGACCTCTTTCTTCTCCCAGGTCACCACGCATCTGGCAGAAGGTTGGACTGGCTCTCTAGGGCTCAGAGAGAAGACAGCACTCACGGCTGTCTGAGCCGTGTGTCCCTGGAGCTGGTGCTGGGGATTCTCCGCCTCCCCCTTTTGTCCCAGTTATGTGTCCCAGTAGCCCCAGTAGAGCTTTCACTGAAGTCACCACTGTGCTTTTGATTCAGACGTTATTACGGTCACGGATGTACAGCACTGGCGACTTAGGGAGCTGTCGAGTGCAACTCGGGAGTGGCACGGAGGTGAGGGTTGGCAGCTGTGCTGGGTGCTCTGACTGCCTTTGGTAGCCAGTGGAGAAGGTGCGACCCAGGTGCTCCAATTTAGCTTTAGCTTTGTTTTCTTCTTTGACTTTTTTTTTTTTTTAAAGGTAACTTTTATATTGTCACAGAACAAACAGAACCAAGATTTAAGTCTCACAATTTTTGTAGCTAATTTCATGTTCTTCTGACAGTTCTACCATAAAGTGTGCAGAAAAGTTGCTGTTACACAGGCGGGAGCTATTTTGTGACCGAATTTTCATTGATCTGTGACAGAAGGAAGGAAAAAGGCTCACATATGGAGGGTGGCCAAGTATCTTTGCTTAGAAAGGACTGTTTCATATTCTAAGATTATATCATTTCCTCAGTTTTAGTGTTAAAATGTCCTATCTTTTATGAATTGATGGTGATAGTAAGTCATGGTTATTTTTATATATTGCCTTTGCTTGGAAAAGCAAAAAGTTCGTAGCCTAGGACCTCCCCTGCCCCTGCTTTTTATATATTTTTTCCAACTTTACTCATTCCTAAAATCCCAAAGTCTGGAACAGTGTATTCCAGCTTCTCTTTCAATATAGGAATTTGCTGATGGAGGGGTTAGGACTTCCTCTGTACCAATTCCTACAGGGGCAGGCGGCCGGTACCAGTCTAATTGTGAAGGAGTTTTTGCTGCAGGTTGGCAGAGGGCTCCGCTCTCGCTGGGTTTGGTTGGGTGTTTCAGTTGGGACATCTCTGCACCTTGGATCTCTTAGGCTGTTCCTGGGACCAGCAGGCCAGCTCAGGGGTGCTCTTCTCATGGTGATAGGACAGACATCAGAGAGCAACTGGAGACATGCCAGGCTCTTGAGCCTCATCTCAGGGCCAGCACATCATTGTCATTTTGCCTTATACCTCACAGAGCTGAGGAATAGGAAAATACATTGTCTTTTTCTTACGAGGAACTGCGAAGTCCTAGGTCAAAGAGTGTGGCAACAGGGAGGGAAGAAGAATTTGAGTCAGTAATGTAACATGTCACAATCCCAATAGAAATCTTTTCTTTCTTCGGTAAAAGAGTCTTAGTTAAAGCAGTTAGATTTCAGTGCAGGTTAAACATGATTACTATGATGGTTTCCTTCCCTTTCCTCAAACACATGTGGATCCAAGAAGCAGGTAAACAAATACTCTGAAGATATGGGGTTCGTTCTAGAACTTAGCAGCTCTGTGACCTTGGATGTGTCCTTTAAATTCCCCGTCTGTGAAACTGGTGTTGTAATACTACTTCATGGGACACTTAGGAAGATTGACCCAATAGGAGTGCTTGGTCCACCATAAAAAGTCATGCCAGTGTGTTCGCTGACGCTTCCTGCGATCTGGGGTCAACCACCAGAGGCTCTACCTCCTTTGGGAAATAGGGTTTGGGGAAATGGGCTCAGGGTACAGAGTGGGAGGGGTGTGGGAACAGGCTTTCTCCGGGACCATAGCGGGGGTTCTAGGTAGTCTCCTGGGTTACAAAGAGTGATAGTAATTCCTTGTTTCTCCTTTGTTCACTGTTATGTTCCAGGAATTGTGAGAGAGATGTGTAGTCATACCAAATTACTCATGAGAAATGCTAGTACATATAAGCTTGGCTTTGGGAAAAAAAATCTATTTTCAAAATTGGACATGTATCTAAAATTATTAAGAACGTTCTCTGTCTGAACATTGGCTCAGTCAGAACCCATTTCTCTTCCTGAGCTTTACTTCTACAAAGATAGTCACAATGTGGGCCATCATTTATTGTCTGGGGGACAACCCATTGGCTGCCTTGCTGCTTGGCCTTAGGGTTTGGCACAGAATAGAACTACTTGGTGGGTGACTTCTTTGGCATTGGTAAATTATCTCCACGTGACCCTGCTCAGGTGCTGGGGATGGATCTCAAGCGTGGCCTCACCTGAGCTTGGGTGGGGCTGGCTGTCCTCTGCGGGGTGTTATTGGCATGCCTCTTCGTGAGCAAACACAACCCCTCCCCACCTCCGGGAGGAGGCACTTAGTCAGTGCAGGGAGCCCAGCAGTAAGGGGCAGCTTTCCTGTGAGACGTGAGAGCTCCAGATAGGATGGGTACTTCTTCCCACCCGCTTCCACTGCGACCTCAGAAGACATCTGGAGAAGAACGCTGAAGGTCACAGAGCTGCTAGGGTCTAGAATGGGTCCCACGTCTTCAGCCTCCTCCACATTGCTGTTTGGATGACAACACACAAACAAAACATGGCTGTGTTTGAGGGAAGAGAAGGACATATAAATCACAGAAGTCATTTTAATGATTACCTGGGGAATCTTGGAAAGGAGAAGTTGTGGGAGGAATGGGTAGAGGAACAGAACCACCTCCTTAGTCTCTAGAGCTGTCTTGAGAAAGAGGGATTGCTAAAGAGGTCAGAAATAGGCTCCAGGTGTGTGAGGCTGTTTTTGTGTTGTTATATACAAATACCTGAGGCTGGGTAATTTATAAAGAAAAGTGGTGTAATTGACTCACAGTTCTGCAGGCTGCACAGGAAGTAGTACCTGAGGCTTCTGGGGAGGCCTCAGGGAGCTTTTACCTGTGGCAGAAGGTGAAGCTGGAGCAGGCATGTCACATGGTGAAAGTGGAGGAAGGTGTGTAGTGGCAGGTGCCACACACTTTTAAACAACCAGATCTCATGAGAACTCACTCACTCTGGTGAGGACAGCTCCAAGCCGTGAGGAATCTGCCCCCATGACCCAAGCACCTCCCGCCAGGCCCTACCTCCAACACTGGGGATCACATTTCAACACGAGATTTCGGTGAGACAAATATCCAAACCTTATCACTGGGGATGGATGGGGGTTCTGAAGAGACGCATTTCACTTTAGTAGAAGAAAGCATTTTTGATGACTG